TATTAATTATAGGTTTAAAAGTTTACCCCTGCTTTCGGGGGCCGATAACCTCATGGGCAGTGATCCCGTCCCCCTCTCTCACCCACTTTGTTTCCTGTCCTCTCTACACTGTCGTATCAAATTAAAGGGGTCCTATTGTGCTTTTTTACTTTTTGAATTTTAGTCAGTGTGTAGTGTGTATGTTTGGGCATAAAAAGATCTACAAAGTTACAAATCTCAAAGTCCACTCCAAAGGGAGATATTTCGTAAAAAAAAAAAAAAAATCCCTTTTCAAGAACTACAACGAACGGCTCGTTTGGACTACAGCGTTGTTTTCCGGGTTTTGTGATGTCACAAAGCGGCCCATTAGAATATAATAAAAATAATTCCCGCCTACAAAAATTTGAATGGTTGGGGGGTGGGGAGGGGCGAGGTCGTGGTTAGAACGCTTGGTTGAGTGAGTGCATCAGACGAGACGACGAAGAAGTGCTGCTGTAGCGTCAAGTTTTCGCCATGTCAAAGAAACGCTGTTTTTTTTCACCCTTGTGCCTTTAAAATTTCCTTGCAGCATGTGTTTTCTACCTTGCTTGGCATTTTAATGCAGTTATTACACATGCACTTGAATAATTATGTATGTAAATATGTATGTTACAGTTATGAAAATGTTTTTATAAACTGCTCGAGGTCGTGGTTAGAACGCTTGGTTGAGTGAGTGCATCAGACGAGACGACAAAGAAGTGCTGCTGTAGCGTCAAGTTTTCGCCATGTCAAAGAAACGCTGTTTTTTTTCACCCCTGTGCCTTTAAAATTTCCTTGCAGCATGTGTTTTCTACCTTGCTTGGCATTTTAATGCAGTTATTACACATGCACTTGAATAATTATGTATGTAAATATGTATGTTACAGTTATGAAAATGTTTTTATAAACTGCTGACAGTACAACAATACTGGACAATGATGTAATCTGCAGAAGACGAGACGACAAAGAAGTGCTGCTGTAGCGTCAAGTTTTCGCCATGTCAAAGAAACGCTGTTTTTTTTCACCCCTGTGCCTTTAAAATTTCCTTGCAGCATGTGTTTTCTACCTTGCTTGGCATTTTAATGCAGTTATTACACATGCACTTGAATAATTATGTATGTAAATATGTATGTTACAGTTATGAAAATGTTTTTATAAACTGCTGACAGTACAATACTGGACAATGATGTAATCTGCAGAATTTACACTTAAGTTATGTGACTATGGTATAAATAAATTAAACGGTTTCATTGCAATTCATGTTAGAATTAAAGAACAATAAACATAATACATATTACCGTTGCACTTATCTGTACATAGTAAATGCAGTTATTTTTAAGCGGTTGTTGACATCGTATCTAAAACGTGATTTAGACACACAAAAAAACACTCTAATATGCCTTGCAATATCCGTGCGTGCAAAGGTTCTGCGCGATCCGCTTGTTCAATATTCTCTGGGTCTGAATCCGGCTCAAATTTATAAGGCAATATTGACTCCATCCTTAACTATACTGGAGCAAACGGAACTTGCTACTTTGGCAAGGGGCGTGGCAGTACTGAAACACCGTCTAAGCTGTTCGCCAATCACAACGCACTGGGACAGCTAACCAATCACAACACATTTAGTTTTTCGGAAGGCGGGCCTTCATCAAACCCAGAACTAATCGAGCCGTTTGTGCCAGGCTGGGGAGAAAGGTATTGTAATAATGTAAATTATGTGAAAAATAATGCGTTTTTTTGAACCACCAAGCATGAGAGCATGTTCTAGTACACCCCCAAAACAAATTCAAGACATTGTAAAAGAGCATAATAGGACCCCTTTAAAATGGCAAAACTAAAAAAAATTAACCCTGCTGTCACAAAATCATAATGAAACTAATCCCTTTGGTTTGCATATATAAATAGGAAAAAATAAACGTAATTTTGCTTTCCTGATGCAAGTTTTGAGATGGATGTTGTTGCATTAAAATGAAGTGTTGGATGTCCCCCAATGCAGGAGGTCATCAGGCAGAAAGTGAAGAGACAGCTCACAAAACAGCAGAAGGCTGCTCAGAGAAGACGTCTACAGAAAGGTGAAGCCAACCTGGTGACCAAGGAGAGGAGAGAAAATCAGAACAACATCAAGAGCAGTTTGGAGACCGCTTACTTCTGGGGCTGAGGATGGCCCTGAAATCTTTTGATGATGTGACTTTAGGACTTCTAACATTTTTCAGAGTTCTGTATCTATGGAATTAATAAAAATAAAAAAATCCTTAATCCCTGCGAGAATCCTTGTCTTTAGCATTATTTATGGTTTGACCTGGTTTATTTAAAATAATAGAGAATTGTAGTCAATTATGCATTGCATAGTATTTTCACCAAAAACAAAATGGCTTTAAGCCAGTATAGTTTTATCTTATCTTTAGACATCATAAAGATAATATGGGGTGCTGTGTGTACATTAATGAGGAAAAAAATTTACTTAAATGATTTTAGCAAATGGCTGCAATATAACAAAGAGTGAAAAATTTAAGGGGGTCTGAATACTTTCCGTACCCACTGTATGTGTGAATATATGCAAATATACAGTGGTGGCCAAAATTATTAGAACATATTAGTATTAGACAGTATTTTCACCAGCTTAAAAATGTTTTTAAAGGGTTAGTTCACCCAAAAATGAAAATTAGGCTGTATTTTACTGTATTACCCCCGAGGCATCCTAGGTGTATATGACTTTCTTCTTTCAGATGAATCCAGTCAGAGTTATATTAAAAATTGTCCTGGCTATTCCAAGCTCTATCATTACAGTCAGCAGGTGTTGCAGTGCTTCAGTCTAAAAGAAGTGAAATAAAAAGCATCCATCCATTAAACAAAAGTGTTAACAAAGACCTCCTGTAGCGAATCGATGCGTTTTTGTAAGAAAATATCCATATTCAAAACGTAATAATCACTTTAATGTAGCTTGTGCCAACAGTTGTACACAGAAGCAGTTCCGGACTGATGATGTATGAGGTCAGCGTTGCGCATGCGCCGGTGAGTCTCGTGAAAACCAACGTTTGTTAACAGGAGCAAAGGAAGCAAAGTTTCCTTACTTTAGCAAAGGAAAAACAGGTCTCCTCTTGGCTTATATCGAAATCTTCCGACATTCTTCTTTACAAATCCTCGTTTTGTACTTCTAATAAGTGACCATTGTTTTGTTTTGATCTATCCGCTGCATTGGTCACTTCTGAGCGGCACATGCGCAACGTCGACCCCATACGTCATCCGCCCAGAACTGCTTCCGTGTACAACAGTGAGCGCAAGCTATCTTAAATTGATTATTACGTTTTAAATAAGCGCATTTTTAAAAACGCATAGATTCGTTACAAGAGGCCTTTGTTCACCCCCCGGAGCCGTGAGACACTTTTTTTTTAATGGATTGGTGCATTTTATTTAACTTCTTTTGGGCTGAAGCACTGCAACACCCGCTGACTGTAATGATAGAGCTTGGAATAGCCAGGACAATTTCTTAATATAACTCAGACTGGATTCGTCTGAAAGAAGAAAGTCATATACACCTAGGATGCCTCGGGGGTGAGTAAAACACAACGTCATTTTCATTTTTGGGTGAACTAACCCTTTAAGTCAGTTATTTCTGTCTTTTGCTGTAGTGTGTCAGAAGGAAATATCACTTTACATTTCCAAACATTAATTTTGCCATTAATTGTAATAATCCTGTGAGATTTTTGCCTGACTACAGCCAGTGCTCCACACAGAGATCTGATCTCTTCATCATCCAATCTGTCTGGAATGACATGAAGAAACAGAACAAACTGAGACAGACTAAATCCAGAAGAACTGTGGCAACGTCTCCAAGATGCTTCAAGATACCTACTTGTAAAGCTACAGTACTGTTAAAAGTTTTAGGCACTTGTGTAAAAATGATGTAAAATGAGAATGCTGTCAAAAATAATGTAATAGGTTTTATTTATCAATAACCTCTATTAACTAAATCATATCAACTTTTGATGTTATATTTGCTTAGTCCAGAAGAATACATTTATTTGACCCTTGCAAGCTAGCATGGTATTGTTATTAATGTAACATTGTATTAAATGTTATTATTAAATCACAAAAAAATATTTCCTCAAATGTTGAAGTTTTCAGAATCTGCCGTTTCTTAATGAAACTACTTAAAATCACAAATCTACGAGTAGCACTGTAAAATGTTGTATCTAGTTTTGCACAGTGCCACAATATGTCTTCGCGTTTTGTCGCTTCCTGCACGCCATTGAAGGGTGGATGGACACGTGACTTGTATTGCGATAGCGTCCAGGAACAAAACAAACCCTCAAGAAATGACAGCTCCGCTAAAGCTTTATGACTGACTGACAGCTGCTGTTTAAAATACTAATATCACATAATATCATTTAGGTGAGTTATACTAATCTTCCTTTCACACGGGGTGAATTTGAGATGATTTTGTTGTGTTTTGGAGAGCGAATCACCAATGTTAGCAGGGGTTTTGTTGCTGTCAGTAGACTTCATTTGTTTACATGCTGATATGGATGGTGGAAGCTCTTACCTCCATAGATATGTTTATGTATACATATCTATGCTTACCTCAAGAATTTCCGCTGTGTGTTGTACCTTTTTGGTTTTGTTTTCTGTAGCCATATAAAGGTTTTTGTTTTATGTGATAATTTACTCATCCCCATGTTGTTACAAACCCATGTGACTTTCTTGAGTGAAACACCAAAGACACATATCTATCTATCTACCTGTCTGTCTGTCTGTCTGTCTATCTTACGTGATTGTAGTGCCATAGAAAGTTGTTACAAATCCATATGACATTCTTAAGTGAAACACAAAAAGGGATGTTGCTGAATGTTGAGCAGTGAAAGTCTTAGTTACCTTTCACTTTCATTGCATCTTCTTTCCATATGAACGTGAAAAGTAACTGAGACTGTTATTCTGCAAAGCATCTCATTTTGTGTTTCACAGCAGAAACTGTTCCATTAATGGCATCTATCCTTTAAAGCTTCAAGACTTGTGTGTTCCAGGGTTCTGTGTGGATCTAGAGAAATGGAGTAATTTTATAACAATAATGTGGATACTTATTTGGAGATGGAGGCTGTGAGACCCAAAAAGTCAAAGTCCAAATCCAGTGGGAAGCCACAGGTAAAACTCACCCATATACTTCTTTTACAACACTTTAAATTTGAGAGTTTAGATCTTGTTTTCATTAAATATGCAAATTTCTCATAATCCTGAATAAAGTTGTGCTTCATTAACAGGTCAAAAAGGAAAGACAGGCAGAAAGTGTTAGACAGCCTTCAGGACCTTCAACAGCAGTTAATGAGCCAGCGCCAGCTTCTGAGTTCACTGATGTTCCCCTTAGCCTTTCTCATGTGCCTCCAGCTCCTGATCTGAAACCACCCGCCACTCAGACCTCACTAGACCATAATGACAAAGCTGAAAAGAATCAAGACCAGGTTCTCTTGTCAGACACGACTGAAATAGTGAAGAAACCATCTTGCAATGAAGAGCATAAAATGCCATCACAAGACACGGCACCTCGGGTGGACCAAGCTTTGGCACCCGTTCAGTCCTGTCAAAGTGATCCCAAACCTCTTAGTGCTAAACTAAAGCCAGTCCCTTCTATATATCCATCTATCCCAGCTTCCTGCTCTGAGCCTCGGCTTTCAGAGGACTCGTACTCTATCATCTATGGACTGTTAAATGCTTCTTGTATGACAGTGGCCTCTGAGGGACAAGTAGCTCCAGCTGTTCTTGCTCTGGCTAACCAGGAGTCCTCCCCGCCCAGCTTGGTCCCTGTGGAGGTCGCTGACGTGGCGAGACCCAGGGAGAGGCTTTACCCAGAGCTGCCCAGGACCTGCCAGTCTGTGAAGCCCTTCACTAGCGAGCAGCTACGTACGTGGGAGCCCGGTTCCTGGTTGGAAAATGTGGAGATTCATGAAGCGGAGTTCCAGAGTCTGTCCCACCAAGAAGGACATGAGCTGTATGAGCTGCTGCTGAGCTACTGGAGGTGCCGTAAGCAACTGACACAGGCCCAGACCGAACTGCAGGCTGCTAATTCAGACTGCAAAAATGTGCAGAATCGCCTGTGGAGCTTCAAGGATGAAAGTCTTTCATTGCAGGTTTGTCATACCTGTGTATCTGTCTCTGTCTTTCTGTTCTTTTTTGGCTTTGTCAGTTATGCTTTTTTATCTGTGCTTTTATCTGTGTTTTATCTGTTGCCCTTGCTTTCAATCTGTCAGTCTGTCTTCATATAATTCTATCTATTTTTATTTATTTTCTTCTATCTATCTATCTATCTATCTATCTATCTATCTATCTATCTATCTATCTATCTATCTATCTATCTATCTATCTATCTATCTATCTATCTATCTATCTACCTACCTACCTACCTACCTACCTATAAACTTTCAGATGTCAAGACATCCCCGTCTGTTTGTCATTCAGTCTATAGTTCTGTCTGTGTGACTGTGTCTGTCTGTCTATCATTTTATATATAAACAGTTGAGGTCAGAATCTGCTAGATGTTAAATATTTTACCAAAATAAGAGGGATCATACAAAATGCATGTTATTTTTTATTTAGTACTGACCTGAATAAGATATTTCACATAAAAGATTTTTACATATAATCCACAAGAGAAAATAATAGTTGAATTTTTAAAAATGACCCCGTTCAAAAGGTTACATCCTCTTGATTCTTAATACTGTGTTTTTTCCTGAATGATCCACAGTGGGGGTTTGTTTTTTTTGTTTTTTTGTGATAGTTGTTCATGAGTCCCTTGTTTGTCCCGAACAGTTCAACTGCCTGCTGTTCTTCAAAAAAATCCTTCAGGTCCCACAAATTCTTTGGTTTTCCAGTGTATTTGTGTATTTGAACCCTTTCCATCAATGACTATGATTTTGAGATCCATCTTTTCACACTGAGGAACGGGGTCATTTTTATAAATTAAACTATTATTTTCTATTGTGGACTATATGTAAACATCTTTTATGTGAAATATCTTATTCAGGTCAGTATTAAATAAACAATAAGATACATTTTGTATGATCCCTCTTATTTTGGTAAAATAATTAACATTTTGCAGATTTTGCAACTTTTGACCTCAGCTGTAGTTCTATTGAAGCCTATAAACTGTAAAATGTCAAGACAGTCTTTTAAACAATGTTTAAAAATAACTTTGCTTCTTTCTTCAGTAGTTAAAGCAATATGAATTTCTTTGAATATCAGTTTATTTGATTTCTGCTTGACTTCAAATTTGATTTAAGATTCTGCATCCTGTTTGCTACCTCAGTTCTCATTCAATAAAATTTCAGAAACTGATGAATAATGCACAACCCTGATCAGCTGTGTGTTTTTTTTTTTGTTGTTTGTTTGTTTTTGCTGACTTTTAGTAGCGTGATCTCTAGTCTACAATGTTTAAAAATAACTTTGCTTCTTTCTTCAGTAGTTAAAGCAATATGAATTTCTTTGAATATCAGTTTATTTGATTTCTGCTTGACTTCAAATTTGATTTAAGATTCTGCATCCTGTTTGCTACCTCAGTTCTCATTCAATAAAATTTCAGAAACTGATGAATAATGCACAACCCTGATCAGCTGTGTGTTTTTTGTTTGTTTTTGCTGACTTTTAGTAGCGTGATCTCTAGTCGAATAAAGTTTTATAGTACTGTATACCCAGCTGTCACACCATGCCTTTACCATAAAAATGCATTGCATTGGTCTATTTTACTCATCACAAACACACCTGTTTGCTTTACAGGGTGTATGTGCGGACCAGACCAAGGTGTTTGGCTACCACTGCTACCAGCAGGTGACAATGAACGAGGCTGCATTAACTGAGCTGAAGCATCTGTTTTCTGCAAAAACAGAAATTCTCCATCAGACAGTGGCCCTGCACTCATACACCTTCATCTTGTCCCGTCTACAAGTGGAGTCTTATCTCTACCGCTTGCTCAGCAGTAACCCCACCACCAAGAGTGTGGCTGTGCAAGATACAAGCACAGGCAAGTTCAAACTGATGAGTCTAGACCAGTGATGGGCAAACTTGGCCCTTCCAGGCCACTTTCCTGCAAAGATAAAACATAAATAATTGGTTAGTTTACACTGTTGCTAATGAGTACAATGACTGTCAGAAATACTTTCATATATTACACTGGTTGTTTGGTCTGACAAAACACCAAACTCTGGCAAATGTAAAAAAAAAAAAAAAATTTGGAGGAAAATTAAATGAATAAATAATGAAGCATATAAAATTCAATACTCATTGGATTTTGCTTGTTCTGTGTTTGTGTATGGTTCAGTAAGACTGGACCAAAACTGATAACTGTATTACTTTTGTGTTATTTTGTCTGGTCATACTGATCATTGAAAACGGATAGGATTACTGCTAAAAGTAATTATATTGTGTAATTTTGAATGTCATGCTGTCTATTGATTTTTGTGTGTTTTGTATTGAATTTCTCAGTGAGTCCAAAGTCTCAGCCCTCTTCTTTGCAACCGCTAAAGGAGAGCATCAGTGTGCTGTTCATCTTCACCCGACGGGTCCTTGATGATTCTCAGTTTCAGGCTGACATACATCTGTGGCTTCAGAGGCTGGTAAAGACACCCAATAACCAGCTAATGAATGGAGACATTGCCATTTTAAAGATAACATGAGCTCAAGATATAAGAAAATATGAATTCATTATTTTTTTCTATTTTTAATATATAAAAATAGAAAACAGCTATTTTAAAATGTATTAATATTTCACAATAGTAGTGTTTTTACTGTATTTTCGATCAAATGAATAAACATGGCCTTAGTTAAGCATAAGAGACTTTCAAAAACAAAAAAATTGTACTTTTGAACAACAGTGCATTTGTAAGATTTCATTTATATTAAATATTAGTAGCTGTAAATAGCTTGGAAATATTGTAAATATTCTATTCTGATGTTCTTTAATTTATTTAATGCAAGCTAAGTTTGCAATATTAATACATTACTATAGAGATAAAAGGAGCTAGTTTAAAAGATCTGCTTTTCTCCATCCAGGTGTCTGTGCTGCATCAGGTCGGTTCTACAGGAGATCATCTGTTCATCCTAAATCACCTGCTCTGCTGCCCGGCAGGTGTTGGGAAATGGGCTGTGCCATTCCTACAGGTACTGAAGCAGTGCCTTGATATGTGACTCACATGAGCTGAAACAATAGTAAATCTTAACAGGGAAATGTAAAAATATATGTTTAAAAAATCTCAGATATCTGCTTGTCTTATAATAGTCATTGACTCTGCTTTTCTTCCATAGATCAAAGTATTGGATAACCCATCTGGAGTGTATCATTTCATGCAGGCCCTGGCTATCCTCATGTCTCCAGCGAGGTAAAGATTAGCTTTACTGGAAACTGAGCTCATGATTCATTGAATTTTGTCCTTTATTATTATCTGTATAATTGTTTAAATTATCACAATTGGGTCTAACTTGAAAAGCTATCGCTTGGGTTAAAACCGGTTATAACTAAAAGCACGAACTGGAGACAATGACATTTTGGCTTTCATTCAATATGGAGTTGTGTGTGTGACATGCAGGCATCGTGCAGACTTCCTGGGACACATGAAGCCCAGTGACGCGAAGGGCAACAACAGTCTTACAGGGCCTGCATCTGGTAACTGGACTCTAGTGGATGAGGGGGGAGAGGAGGTGAGAGCTATTCAGATTAAATCATGAAAATGAAAAACAGAAGCATTTAAAAAAAAAATTCTAATGGCCTCAGACCTCAATGCAAGAATCAGTTATATTATTGCATTAACTTCTATTTAGACTTCACAGCCTGCTTTTTTGAAGCATTGTTATCTTTTAGGTTTGACTTGTGACTTCTGTCAAACCGAAAGTGTCAGTATTTTGTGTCTTATGTAACCACCAACAAAACCTTTGTTGTGGTTGTTATGACTGTACACCATACTCCCATGTGAATGCCTACTGTAACACTCTTGTGAACTTTCTCAGGATGAAGACCCAGAAACAAGCTGGATGCTGCTGTCTGAAGATGATCTGGTTTCTCTGTTCTCTCAGTTTCCCTTTGATGAGCTCTTCAAACAGTTACTGGGTATCTGCTCTAAAGGTGAGACTGTCATTATGATCCATAAATGAGCTGAGACAGCCATGCAGTGTTCAGTGTACATCTGGTTCTTTTTATTTACTGGTCAGTACAGTAGATTGTATAGTATTCACCTGTTATTAAAGGGATAGTTCACCCAGAGAGGCAAGTTCTGTCATCATTTACTCACCCTTGTGCGACATGTACTGGCCATTTTTTTCTATATAAGAAAGTGAATGGGCATCCTAAATGGAAAAAAAGCTTAAAAAGCCATTTCCCCTAAGACTTAGAAATCCTTAGAACAGTTATTTGTATATTAAAATTGACATTTTATACTGTTTCTAATTAGTTGACTTGTTAAATGTCACTCTTACCAAAATAGGCGACTATCAGCCTCAAGCCACCACCAGTCAAAAGATGATGAAGATATTTGCATTTGCTTCTTCACTGGTCGAACTGCTTGCTGTCGGTTTGCAGACTTACAACAGAGCACGTTATCGCCAATTTGTGAAGAGAATTGGTTACATGATCAGGTTTGTAAGCTTATTAAGCTTATTAATTTAAATCTTTTTCATACAATAAAATATCCATCTTAAGTAATCCTGACAAACTACAGATGTTATGAATGTATTTTTTTTTTTTACATTACTAGAAGCATTTCGGTAGGGTTTCAGCCATATTTAACTGACCAATAATTTAGACCTTTGAGTGTTTTTTCTCTCCTTATTCTAGGATGACGCTCTCTTATGTTAGTGACCACTGGGCGCAGTACATCAGCCTGACAGGTGTGAGCAGAACCACAATGCAGGAGCAGTCATTTTCAATGGAGAAGCTGCAGGTGGAGTTTGACCATCTCTTCCTGAGAGCAGTGCTTCATGTGCTCAAGGCCAAGAGGTATAGAGTAATTCCAAAGCTGGGGCCTATTATGGCGCTTTTCCTCTGCATGGTAAGGCACGGTTCACTTTTTTTTTATTTTATGGGATTACATTTCTGCCAAAGAAAAAAGTATTTTGAGCGCACGAAAATCAATTTTGCATTTAAAATAAGTTTTTGGATATGTGCAATGTTTCACTAGCTTGCTCACCTGATGCCTGCCCTCAGTGCTCTCTAAATACAAATAGCTTGCGTGCTCAACACAACCCAGCATTACAATATGCCATAATTCCAGCCAATCAGAGACAAGGCTGCTAAATTCTGATTGGCTGCCTTGACAACCACTCACAACATTCCTTGCATTACCTCGACAGCAGAAGAGGAAAAATACAGTGCGTGCATAATTATTATGCAAGTTCATATTCTGATCATATTTTTTTCCAAGCACATTTTGCCAATTCCAAACAACACCAATCTTAATAACCACTATTAATCTGGTATTTAATCACTTATAATCTATATATTATTGTTGATGAAGGCTGGAAGTGAAAAACGCCTTATATTCAGGTGTGCATAATTAAGCAGGTTATCTTCTAAGCAGGTCATCTTCTACAGATAAAATCTCAAGATGGACTAAAAATTAACTCCCAAAACTTACTGCCAGATTCTGGAAGATAAATTCTTCAAATAGGGGTACAAGAAGATGTGGTGCTGGTCCTTCAAAAGTCACTCTCAACTTATCTGTCTATAAAGCCTATATATATGAGCCAAAAACACGTGGAGAAGAAAAGATGCATGTTAACTGCAAAAGAATTAGGAAGTAATGTGAAGAATTGGGTGTGAAATACCTATATATATATATGTGTGTATGTGTGTGTGTATATATATATATATACATACAGTGTGTGTGTGTGTTTGTATGTGTGTGTTTGTATGTATGTGTGTGTGTATATATACTGTACATATATATACATACACACGCACACATATATACATACATACATAAACACCTATATACATACACACACATACATACATATATACACACACATATACAGTGGGTACGGAAAGTATTCAGACCCCCTTAAATTTTTCAGTCTTTGTTATATTACAGCCATTTGCTAAAATCATTTAAGTTAATTTTTTTTCCTCATTAATGTACACACAACACCCCATATTGACAGAAAAACACAGAATTGTTGACATTTTTGCAGATTTATTAAAAAAGAAAAACTGAAATATCACATGGTCCTAAGTATTCAGACCCTTTGCTGTGACACTCAAATATTTAACTCAGGTGCTGTCCATTTCTTCTGATCATCCTTGAGATGATTCTACACCTTCATTTGAGTCCAGCTGTATTTGATTATACTGATTGGACTTGATTAGGAAACCCACACCCCTGTCTATATAAGACCTTACAGCTCACAGTCCATGTCAGAGCAAATGAGAATCATGAAGTCAAAGGAACTGCCTGAAGAGCTCAGAGACAGAATTGTGGCAAGGCACAGAACTGGCCAAGGTTACAAAAAAATTTCTGCTGCACTTAAGGTTCCCAAGAGCACAGTGGCCTCCATAATCCTTAAATGGAAGACATTTGGGACCACCAGAACCCTTCCTAGAGCTGG